AGAACGGTTTCAGTTTGCTCGTCGACGGACGGCATTTCGGGGGATGGCGCGATGGCATCGTTTAAATCCTTTCCCAGTTGCTTGAAAGCAGTTTTACCTAGCCAATCGGCAAGATCGTCGCGACCTATTTGCCGAAGACGATGCACGATCGCCGCATGCGTTTTACCCCTGCCCTCCGCGGGATGCTCGTTCCAATGCAACAACTGACGAAGACATGGAATTTCCTCGTCTACCTTGCGCTCTTTCCCGCATAAAAATATACGGACTATAATGTACCGTATAACGTATCGTTTTGACAAGTTTTGACATCGCGTAAAGAAAAAATCTAATATAAATGACATTTATAGCGTCTTAATTAAAATGTGAATTTTCTTCTTTAATGATCGTTCCAGCACATTGCAGAGTGATTCATTTTAGCGGAGTTATTAAGAGGAAGGCGGATGACAAACATATCATTGAAAACATATTCTCACTTAGGTGCAACTAAAAGTGTCACGTTGACAAAATAATAAGTATACGCAATCGAAATATCAGCGACAAGAATCTCATCTAGAGTCAAAATAAGTAACTGTGGGAATCTCATCTAGAGTCAAAATAAGTAACTGTGGGATTCACACTAATGTATCATTATGCATTGTAGACTTATATAAGTTGAAAATAAATAGCTTTTGTAGTCTTGTCGTATTACATGCTCGATTTCTCATTAAAAATAGTGGCGGCTCGTAGCGGATTTTTAAACTAATAATAGCCGAGACGCAAACTATACTTCAGCTAAAAGTCTAAGTATTCATAGTCCGATCTTATATTTAAGATTATTTTAAGAACTATCTTAAGAACTGTCATGAACCAATCACAGAACCGTATTCGCATCTTAAGACATTACTTAAAACAATCTTGAAATAAGATTCGACAATGAATACCGACCTTAAACTCTATTTTAGCCAAGATTCAAACCATACGTTGAAGAAATATCTACCCGATATCGTTAGATGGCGCTATGTAATCAAGGACTATGCAACCATTTGAATTTGTTTAACGCTGTGTGTATGTAATTCAGATCACACATATAATAAAATGTAGGCCGATATACTTCCAATCGCACTTTCGAAATCATTCATTCCATTTTCTCGCAAATATGTTTCGTCGAACACCGATAATTAGCACCTAGTAATTACGACAGAGGTCTTACCAATATTTTATATATATATATATATATATATATATATATATATATATATATATATATATATATATATAATATTTTACCAGCTGCGGCCAAGTTCTGGGGCAGATTATAAGTGGTGTAATGAAGCGCGGCGATCAAACGCCGACACTCGAACGGATCCAATCGTGCTGCGAGATACTCCAGTTCGCTTAAATTCACGTCGATCGTCCCGTATACTTTCACATATCCAATTGCCAGATAAATTAAAATATATGCAAAGTCGTTTTCTCGAAACTGCATTTTTCTCGAAACAAGAGGTTATCAGTTGCGAGCGCCGTTGACAATCGAATCATGCGAAAACATAAGATCGTAGTTTCGTTGTTATTTGTATCGCTGTTTTCTTTTCTTTTTATTTGTATTTCTCTTCAAGTCTCTTCTAGCTTTTCGCTGTAGTCTTTTAATTAATGATATCAGAAACGAGAAAATATACGCTCAAAGTTCTTGCAAAATACGTTGAAATAAATGTTGATAAAATAACATTTGCGATCGATAAAGCACATATGTTGTAAAACTTTTTGCAAATTTTCCTGTTGCTCTGTTAATTAATAAACATCCATAAAATTAAAAAAGTCACAGCTATTTATTGACTGTTAGAATAAAGACAAAGTTTTGAAAACATGCTACAAATCTACTCGATTAATCATTTAATGAAGGTATCTTTTTATTTTTATATATTTCTCGAAAGAATGTTGAACATGTGTTTTCTCGCTTCTGACCATCAGTAATCAAATGGCTGTGTTGAGAAAATAAAATGACTTAACAAAAAGAAATGTCACATTATAATTGTTTCGCGCTTTTTCTAACGTTGTCGTCGTATTTGTCTCTTGAGTCTCTTTCGCCTTTGTTTCTTTCTGTAACACTTGTAGCACGTGATCGGCGATTCGTCTTCTTGTTTTTCTAGCTCTTCTGGTTGCAACGGCGGCAGAACAATAGGCTCCACAGCTTCCGTGCCGTTGATGTGCGTGTGGTTTGGCGATCCAAGATCCCTTGCCTTTTTCTTTTTTTTTCGCAATTCTCTCATGGCGGCTCCTTTGCTGCGACCTTCCTCGATGTCAGAAAGGAAATATTTTCTAAACGTATTTATTGTATGGACATGATCGCTTTCTGCCAGTGTGAGGAGATGTAGAGTCACGACTAATTAACAGGCGAAGCACAAATACGTTTCTCGTTCGCACGGCTATTAACGCGTTGAATGCCGTGACAGTATCGTGTCTCATTTTGTCACGTATATACACTGAGAAAAAATGTTTTGTAACTATAATCACGTAGAGAAAAATTGTTATAAATTATGATCGAGAAAACAATTATACTTTTTTATTAAATTCTACTATAATACTATAATGTTTGTGATGATATAACTTTATGATAAAATAACTTTATATGCATGTTACTACTATTTTCATGTTAGAACAACCAAAAATATGGTTAGAATAAAAAATAACTATAATTTTAATTAAATCAACCATTATTTCTCTCTCAATGTAACTAAACAATTGTATTTGGAAACCGGATTATACATTGTCAAGAGAAAGAGAGAGAGAGAGAGAAAGAATCGATAAAACAAGGTAAAAAATACGCAAGTGCATTGAATTACATTTATTTATCGTCAATTCAATTGTCGGGTAAGCTTTTGTACAATCGACGGGAATCAATGGCAATCAACGTGTTAAAACGATAAAAAAACGAGAAAAATCAATAAGTCATAGACGAGTCACAAACTTTTCTCGTATAAGCGAGAGCTTACAATTTTAGCCAAGCTAAAATTTTAATTCTACATTGATCCTGCAAATACTGTCAATACTTGAAGAATCACAATAAAGAATTTCGAGATATAATATTATACGGACTATTGCCTTACCTTGGTGCTACAAATGGTTATTGCGAGTCACATTTCTATTATTAAAAGGCAATAAGATCTGTATATAATCCCAGGTCTTTCGAGATTCTCCATTGGCCCTTCAAGTTTTTCTTCGTCAAGAATTTCTTCGCAGGGTCAATGTAGAACCAAAATATCTAACAACACTCTTATCTTATACTGACTCCTTCTTTCTTCTGCCCGTAAGTTTGTTGAAAAGTCTTGCGCATTTATTCCTCACGAACAGTGTGCAACAGCAGGTCAAAAGTACAGTCGCGACTACGATCCCTCCGATAACGTATAATGGCAAAGAAATCGTTTGGCGTCCTGAAACGTATTGTGTCAATATAGATTGCATCGATACATCGTTTGCTCAAAGATCTTCCGTCACTCGACTCGCCTGATAAGATAATAGACCCGGTCGTGTTGGTGTTATTCATTTCTAGCTTCGTTACGATGATCTCCGCATCATTCCGAACGTCATTATTGTGTTTTGGCAGATATTAATGATATACAATTAATTAAACGATTAACTGGAATAGACGGTGTAAATATTAACACTAGTAACCGATTGACACATTTCGCGGTTAAGTGAGGACGTTCGAGCAGACACATGCGAGTACGAATATAAATAATAAATGGAGTAACAAAACATCAGACACATCTTTGATTAACTTCACATTCTCTTGCTTACTTGTGGGAGAAAAAGAAGTGAAAGAGTAAGGTGAACATCTAAACGACACGATTGCCAACGCTATTGGTAAAAACAAGATTACTTAATTTTTAATTGACACTGAACAAACACGAACACAGCTTCTGTTTTTCAAATAGAAATATGCCGATAAATTAAATGTATGTATTTTATTGGAAAAAAGATTTATCTCGACCTAATAATATGTATAACGCGTCGACATACAATATCTTATAAGATAACTATAAGATAACTATAGTTCCGCTTCATATATTTTCGTCTTTTTGTGTCGGATAGATATTGTGTATCTTTTTTATTATCATTGACACAATAACAATGTTTATTTTCTCTTCTCGTAATAACAATAAACGTTTGACAGAACTATGGAAAAAAAATTGTAGACTTTACCGTGGACAAACTCTGTTTTTGCTATGGGAATTTCTAAGAACTACTCGGAAGGATATTAAAGTGAGACAAAATTTCTAAGACTACTCGGAAGGATATTAAAGTGAGACAAAATTTTCTCGAATCACCTTTTCCCCTTTGTGCAATACCGACTTTTATTTCATGTTCCTCGTAATTTAGCGGAAAGACATTCCGATCCACATTACAACGTACTGCAAATGTTAGTCACCGTTAAGAATTTACGCGAGGATCATCATTATGTACTATGCTAGTGTTGTGTCGTCATACATTGATAAATGTATAGAATGTCAGTATAGCGTGACGAATGTTATTCTCTCGTAAAAAATTAAAACTTATGAAGCTGTTAAAACTTACATTATGAAGAATGTCATCATTCTTCATATCATTTCCTTGAAAGATTCAAAGATTTGACACAAATGACTTGTGAAAAAGTGATATGTATACGTGCGCGTTGAAGCTGCTTTCAATCACGACTTGAAAATTAATATGATCAAGTGATCTTAATCGTTATAAACCCGACAGAGTATCGGGAAGATGTAGTCAAACATCTTTTTCCATGCCTCTTGCACCTCCGGCGTGTATTGTTTCCCGAAAACGGATGGAAAGAGGTCCTCCAATACATGCCGTAAATTCTGGAAATATAATTTTTTTCACTTGTACGTGTGTGTGTGTGTGTGTGGTACGTATTGTGCGTACGTTAACTCGCCATAGAATGTCGATTGGCGGTAACGGTATAGAATGTGACCACGTAGTGATAAAAATATAAAAAGTATGGTCCCCTTTAACACACTTTCACTATCTGCGTAACATGTGTTCGACATATGAAACAGACTGAGTGTTATCAGTATCGCCTTTGTGTGTATTCTTTAGGTTAATCAAAATTTCCGATATATTTCTTTTGTACATATTATTATACGATATGTGCTTTGCTTTACAGTGAAAAAATTAATTGAAATAATTCTATTTATTATTGATAATTGTCTAACGGATATCTACAGTGAGATAAAAGGGATGTGATGAGAAAAATTTGTTTACTTGGAATTGTTGTAGCGTTTGTCCGCGGATCTTGTGTCTTTCGGCAAGAGTGAGTAAGCTTGCCTCCATCAGCTCCGGATCGTGGATATGATCGATCACGCCGCTCAACGCCCCTATAATATTGGCGCAGTGCGCCTGAAACCTTTTATTTTTCGACAATTCGTCAAAAGACATATCCTTAAACAGCCTGAATTCGTTTTGGTATTCCGGATGTCGTGTAAAAAGACTGCAAAGAAAGATCACGCAAGTAACAGTCTCAAATTAATAAGCGACATTTCATTGAACAACTGAGATTGAATTAGAATTGAGAGGAAGAAAAAGAGAAAAGGAGGGGGAAAGTAGAAGGGAGAGAGAAAGAGAGAGGAAGTAGGGAGACAAAGAGAACACTGTCGAATAGAAAATCGTTTCTTTACGTTGTACAATAATGTACTGTCAATGTCAGAGCGAAAACGAAGAATATTCTTCTGCAAGTTAACTTAAAGCCAACTTAAAGAATTGTACGATAGCATAAAACATACAAAAATTTAACGTCAATTGGTAGAGAGGAAACAACCGTTCAATTCCCGAAATTACTTATAATAAAATTAAAGTTATTTTGTAATAAAACTAAAAACGAGTAAAAATTTAGCGATAATACTGCTATACACGAAATCGCAAATGAATGTTTCACTCAAATCATACAACTGATTCTCAATTGATACCACTTAATGTCGATTGGATATTGAACTTGGTCAAGTGACGGTCAAGTATTATTGCCGATCCGGCGGCATCTTACGATATGCCCATTCAGACAAACAAGTTAGAAGATCTGCGAAATCCTCTTTCACGAATTCAGAATATACAAGTTTCAGTCGCAACGAAGCCGATCGATCGCTTTCAAGTATATTCCGGACTTGAGTCAACAAATGGTTTCGATTGGCGCAACGATCTAATCTCGTCACTCCGCAGGTGTTAGCAGAGTCAGCGTTGAAATTTTCATAACGCACGCATCCTGTCGTGACTTTTGCGACGCGGCGTGCATCGACAAATGCGTATGATTTTCACGGAGAGATGTGAGCGCGTTTGCTGATGAGAAACTGCAAACGTGACACGGATTCACGACGATATTGCATGTATAAATGTACCGCGTGTCGACGATTCATTAAACAAATGATCAGTCAATTAGAATGCGGAAGAGCCTTGAAGTGCGCAGAAATCTTCGTCCGAAGAATTTTGGAATGGAATTTCGCCAATTATCAGTCGCTTATATACGTTTGATCTACACGGAAAAAAAAGTATGGTTGGTCTCGCTTAGAGTTATTTAATAAAATATAGATATTGCGTCACACATAGTATATCGCTAGTCGAAACGCAGCATGGAAGACTGTAAGATTCGAAAACAAGAAGCAACGTTTCGCGCGTGACTCATTTGTAACCGTTCTCTCTACTTGCAACAGTATTTATACTAAGACGAGTGTTACACGCATATTGTTTTTTTGTTAGAACAACAAAAGATAAGTTGGCGCCAAAAATAACTACAATTTGCAATGAAATTAACTGTGAAATTAACTTTTCTTCTCACAGTGAATCGTGGTTGCCGTCCTTGATTGACGGGATTCTCTGTATTCTATTACATGGAAAACGAAATGAATAAAGAGATATTAGATGAACTCACGCGAACATAATGGCAATCCCAGATGACACCTCATCCTTGCGAACAGTGGCCCATGTGTTCTGCACTAATTTCTTTTGTTTCTCGCTCATGCCGATCCTCTCGTCCAGTTCATCGCGACCATCCATAAAGTATTTATACAGACGAACGAGCGACATGTTTTCGACGCAATAGATTCCTATCTATGCGAAACAGAACAGTAGCATCATTTATTGGACAATTGTCCTATAGATAGATTTCTATGGATCTCCGCTAACGAGGACTCGCGAAACGTGTGAAAAGAATATTTTTTACTTTTTAATTTTTGTATTTTTAAATTTTTCTCGAATAATACGTCACTTCGGGATGCATGAATTACGACGATCAATTGACAAGTTTGACATTCACTGTTGATTAACAGGTTGAATGCCATAGTTGTCACAGTAATAATGTTACGTCTCATGAAGTGATATGTAAGATAAAATAGTTGCATCTAAAAATCTGATTGTAGAATGAGAAAACCAATAAAACGAAGTAAAAGAAATGTGCATTCCAAATTACATTTCTTTACTGTACCTTTAGCAATTTGTTAGTCATTTTAGTACAATCAGTAGAAATAAGAATGCGGCAGCCAATGTATTAATATGTAATTAATAATACATAAGAGATAATCGCTGTTCAGATGTACATAGGAGTAGCGAGATTTTTCAATGAATGAGTAAGCAAGTATTTGCCCTTCTTCACCACGATGTACGATTTTTCGATTGTTTCTCAAATAATTATGCACATTAGTGCTGGGATTCTATAACTCGTTATTGTAGTTAACGACAATTAACTTTCACAGTTCGTTATCATTGCGCAACTTTTTTCTACGGTATACAAAAGCTGCGCAACGATAACGAAACTGTCGTTAACTCCAATAACGAGTTACAGAATCCCAGCACTGAACACGGAGTTTGTGCAAATGTGAGTGTGAGTGCAAATGTGACTGCTAAAGAAAATAAAAAGAACCGCGTTGTATTTTCGAAACGCACCACATATATCATAGCAAACACACTGTTATACGTAATATACTTGTTAAGTTATAATTTCCTACTCAACAATGTAATTATTATATAACACGTGTGTTATATAACAGATGCGTTATATGTAACACTGTATTTGCTGGATATCTAAACAACTAATTTGTCTTAATATAAAAACGATAAATATATATTTTTACAAAGAAAAATACAGCCGTTTAACACATGTAAAATCTAAAGACGCGAGCTCTTAATGAATAGTGTATCAAATTATTACTAACAAGAAATCGTTTTCTCACGTTTCCCTAGTTGTCATGTTTCTCAGCAAAATGTATCGATAAATCGCAAGTAAAGATTAAGACGTCACTGGGAAAGAAAAAGCAAAAAAGAAAACAGGAGGGGAAAGAGACAGCAGTGCAATGTCAAAATAAAAGGAAAAAATGTTACATTCGAATGTTTGCAAAATGTAATTCTCGCGGATGCGCATAGCAACGTGAATTGGCGTATTCTCGTCGTATCTGCGCGCGTTCCTCACGCGAATGCGATTATTCTCGAATAGATGTACACGCGCGGAAGGAGGATGAAGGAGGTAGAGAAGAGCGCGTGGAGACCGAATAAACGAGAACGGTACCAGGCGGCGCGAAGAAGAAAAACGGAGCAGCAGCACTCCGGAGACGACGCTTAACACGAACAGCAACGGACTGAAACGATGACTGCTGTTGGCTCGCTTCTCTCGAATCGCCTCCAATTGCTCTGTAATTCGGTATGATATGTCACGTGCCACGCGTGCACACACACTCACTGATCGAACTCAGCGGCGACTACCCGCTATTGCAACCGGTCGCAACTATTTCAGTAATCGAGAGTCATTCCCCCACTCCGTTGCCAAAGAAAAAGATAAGAAATATTGCATCACACACGCGTACTCCAGTGAGATGCGTCGTTAAATTTAATTTTAACCTCAAGGATTAAATAAACAACAGCGTTTTCTCCAGCGAGAATACAGAGCAATCGGAGGATAATTCTTTTGAGAGGACACGCGCCGGGAATGCATGATGTGGAATTTGTTTGATCTAAACGATATCGGAAGAGCTGCGCTTTAAATCGTGCACGTCGATATAGATAAAAAAATGTCATTGTTACGTATGTAATGTCAGTCTCGTGTGAAAGATCAATACATCATATATATGCGTAAGTTGACAATAAACAAATTAATTAACACCATGATATCATAGCTTAAACAAGCGATATCTTCCATATTTTTCTTATATTAGTGGCAACTAATATATATAACTTACTTTTTTCATTATTAAAATTTCCCATATGTATCCTTTATTGGAAAATCTTTGAATCCTCCATTTTGCATATCCAGATACTTTAACCTTCTGTGGAGTTGTATTGCTTGCAGATAAAAAATTCATCTAATGATCTGTCAACAAGCTGTCTGTCCCTTTTGACCATAATTGAGCTATTAAGAGAAACTAATAAAAATAATGGTTATAATAATAACGGATTGTTTCTTAAATAACAGGATGATGTCAAATTGTGTTTTAATGACGCATTAATGACGTCTCTAACATTAATAATATGTCATTGATACGACGTTGTCATGTTTGTTAATTGAGACTCTAACGTTAAAAAATAACTGAAAACAATTTCTTTCTTAAATTTTTTACCGTATAATATTATACAGTAAAAGATGTCACTGAATTTTATAATCAACGTTTTGCAATATCTCTTATAGTGTTGGGATATTAACGAAAGTATGAAAAATATTTTTTCTTTTTCTTTTAACCGATATATTTACACCTTTTCAAGATTATTTTCTAGCCGCAACAGAACATATAGCAATGTTACTGAGCTTACCTTCCCCGTTTTTCTACTTTTTTCTGCAATATCTCAAATCTTTTTGAAAACTTGCGGAATGGCGCGTTAGCTACGATTCGGTTATGTTAAGGATGTTTACGTTAAATCGAGTAGAGTTAATTCACCTAAAGAACGAAAAGTGTCATAGGCACAACCATCTAGTAACTACATAGCTCATGACAACTCAATCCTGTCTCATAGTTCGGTATCGGTGAACTATATACATACTGGAATGCTTAGGCTGCGTTCGAAAATGCCATCCAAGTGTACCCATTGCGTTGGAATGAGCGAGATACAAGAGTGAGATAAAAAGAGAGGGAGAGTATTCGAGTGATGTTTCCGAACGCAGCCTAAGTCAAATGGAAAGAAACGGGTCGAGTGAAAGGGAAAACAGGAACCGTTTAAGAGGTGGTGCAACTCTTTAACTGCATCACTGAACTGTTGCAGTAAGAGTGAGACAAATATATCTTATCTCGCTCTAACTTATTGCTTTACAAACGGCGCCCAACCATAAAAAGTTATTCTTTTCAGCAGATTTCCTCTCAATTGTGGGGGACACAAATCAGGACCATTTTCTCTACTCGTGTCCTATCAAGTTCGGTCTCCTTACCTCTTACTTCATAGTTAGTATATAGAAGTCTGTGGCTGGTGGCCGCTCTCATACTTCTCTCTGGTGATATTCAACATACGATATCCAATAGGAGAATTATTCTTCTGGAGACTAAAAATGTCGCCAGCTACCAATTCTAGTAAACAAACTATTGGATATTGAGGCTGCGTTCCGAAATGTACTGCCAGTACTGAAAATTTATAGTTTATGTTACGTATATTATAGAATTTCAGTACTGGCAGAGAATTTCGGAACGCAGCCTAAATCGTTAAATGTTGCATAACACAATTGAAACCGGTTCTGATATATTTGTCTTTGGCTCTATTTACTGCGAGTAAAAATCGGTCTGACCCAATAGACTGTACCGATTGGCTGTCGAGTAGAGACCCTCAAACAGAAACTGGCCATTGGGGGGTCTTCACGTGATTGGCGCACGGCATGATGACCCGAAAAATGGCGGCACCAATACGAAGCTACGCTCACCAAGCGCGAACGGGCATAAAATATTAATTGAGATATTGTCGCACTCTACGAATATATAGTTTATCGCTCAAATAATGATGATAAATAAATATATATACGTGTATATCCTTTAAAATGTATAATGTAAGTTCTTGAAGATATTACATATAGTCAATAACAATCACACGTTAAGTAATGTCGAAAGAAATAAAAAACAACTAGTCCTGAGATATTATTATTCAGGTAATATAATAAATAATTAATTAAAAAAAATATATATAGATAATTTTAATAAATAGAGATTATTTGTATTGTTGTTGTTATAAGTTTTATTTAAAGGTATATAAATGTGTGCAAGTGTAATAAGTGCATGTGTAAGTGCATGTGTGCAAGTTGTTAATTGTTCATTTTACGTTATGTGATGTTAAATTTCGTGATTAAAATGATAAAATATCATGTTACTTACAATTGATTGTTATTACAATTGATGTTATTGTTATTACAATTGATGTTGCAGGGACCCGATTCTTGACGGTGTGCGAATGAGATATACATGCGAAAATCTACAGTATACGTAACGTGAACTATATATTTTCGCATGCATATCTCATTCGCATACCATCAAGAATCGAGCCCTAGATCGATAGACACGCACACATTTAATAGATCACGCACTCACTCAGCAGCACACACATATTTATCGCCGCCATTTTTCGGGTCAATGGCCAGTCTCTGTTCGAAGGTCTCTAGCTGTCGACGCGACTCCACCAATTACTCCTCATGTCAGTGTGTCATGCACGAGGCAGCAGTGGCAACCGTCGAAAGGGAAACACCGCGTACGTCCACGGTGTATGAACATCGTCGTTTGTCAATGTTTTAAGATGGCGGACGCAAACGAGAAATTGTTGGCGGAACTCTTGAAAAAACCTGGGAATAACGTGTGTGCGGATTGTGGGGCCAAGAGTGAGTGTGTTTCGTGAAAAAAAAGTTCTGTTCCCTTTCAGTCGTCACAGACGAACGAAGCGCGTACGCCGCCGTGACGCGCGATCTTAACCTCGCAACAGTCCCGTTGCGCGACGTCTCCGACGTCCGGAATGTTTGTTTTCATCGCGATACTCGGCATCATGATTGTATAACGCGAAATAGCGTGAAATCGGCCTGACGTTGGCATTATCGTAATTGCACACGAGAGAAACACGTCGTCTGTCAAAGTGACAGCAAACGTCTCGTGTTTTTCGAGAACGATGTTTTTTGTCTCTTCCTTTTTCCTTTTCTTTCTCTCTCTCTCTCTCTCTCTCTCTCTCTCTCTCTCTCTCTCTCTCTCTCTCTGTCGCATACGTAACTACATCGCATTACCATGCAAAACTGACCGGGATCCTTTCAGATCCGGAATGGGCGTCTTACAACATAGGTATATTCGTCTGCAAAAGATGCGCTGGTGTGCACAGATCTATGGGAGCGCATATATCAAAGGTGAAACATTTGAAGCTAGACCGGTGGGAGGATTCTCAGGTGAATAGGATGCGCGAAGTCGGTAACGCCGCGGCGAGGCTGCACTATGAGGAACGTGTACCTTCGTGCTATCGTAAACCAAGCCCAGATGCCCCGCAGTGAGTTATCAGGAATTTGTGTGGTTTTCCTGTTTCAGTCACTGAAGGGTGGCACGTTATCCGCCTTATCAGCTAACTACCAGTAGATTACGATTTGAAACAAGCATTGCACAAACACCGTCTAATTGAACGATTAATTCTCCATTATCGTTAGAGTTTTAGTCGAACAGTGGATAAGAGCCAAATATGAGAGGGAGGAGTTTTGTCACCCTGAAAGACAGAATCACTATGTGTCAGGTTTTATGGAAGGATTCCTGATGAAGCGCGGCAAGGAGGACTCACGTTACCATCCGCGAAAATTCGTACTCTGCGAGGCGGAGGACACTCTCAAGTATCACGTTAAAGAGAACAAAGTACGATATTTATTATTACAAGAAGGCACGATTTATACGATACGTGTGCGGTATTTTTATTATTACTAGATATTATTTATTATTAGAACAAGGTACCTTGGCAAGGAAAATATCAGTGAATTGTTATGAATTGTCGGATAGGCGCAACGATATATATTGGTAATATTGTTGCATAATTTATCTCAAGGAACCTAAAGCCGTCTTGAGGATATCAGAGTTAAATGTGGCGTTCGTACCGACCAAAACCGGCAATCAGAACAGCCTTCAGTTGTCCTTTATGAAAGACGGCACCACGAGACATATCTACGTTTATCACGAGGATCCGGAAGTGATCACAAATTGGTATCTCGCGATCAGATGCGCAAAGTTGCATCGTTTGCAAGTGGCGTACCCGGGCGCGAGTGAGAACGAGTTGCTGTCACAACTAACGAGGGATTTTCCGCGCGAGGGTTTCCTGTGGAAAACCGGCCCCAGGCACACGGACGCTTACAAAAAGAGATGGTTTACATTGGACGGCAGAAAGCTAATGTATCACGACGATCCCATGGTTCGTATTCACAATCCGAGTGCAATCCGTCTTATAAGCTCTGCAAAGCGTTCTTTCTTCCCCCTTAATCTTAATCTTTCTTGAAGGATGCGCATCCAAAGGGCGAAATCTTCTTGGGACATAGTTCCGAGGGTTTCGCCGTGAAAACGGGCGTACCGCCGGGCGCGAGGGACCAAGGATTCTCGTTCACCCTTGAGACACCCGACAGAACTTACTTGCTCTCTGCGCAAAGCGACGACGATAGGTCGCAGTGGATCAACGTGATCCAAAAAGTAATTGATAAACCACTAACGCCACAGGACGCGAGCGGTAAGCGAAGTCGTAGCGCGTGTATAAAGCGCTTACTGGAATTCGTGAGGACGAGCGTACACGTTGATTTCTATTTTACAGTAGCGGCGAGACTCGTAAGAAAGCGCACAGCCAGTGGCTCGATGAATATATTTTCGTCTACGAGATAGGGCTGGATTCCTCTTAGACGTCTTTCTTAATTCTCATTCACCGGTAATACCGTACGATCGAATCGTATTGTCGAGATATAGAAAAATATATGACTCAGCACGCGCGCGAGATGCGCATGGCTATGTCCGGAGCTATTATTTACTCATCCAAGTGCTGTCGCCGTTGAGTCATGTATTTACTCATATACCTGCGCACGGTAATGTAGCTTACATAGAATAACGCATAAGACTGCTCGAAGATTGTTGACGCGGGCGAAAAGAAAATCAGTGAAAAGCACACAACCGCGCTCCTCGATGACACTTTTGCGTTGCGAAGATGCTTGTGTGTCGCTTTACTGTCTAAACCGAGGTTTTAGGCGGTATCGTAACAATACTATATACAAGGGATTTTTACTTAGCAATAACGTTGCGTGTGATACTTGTCTCTGACAGTATAACGTTCGGAGCGCACCGACCGAGGTAAACTCTCTTCCAGAAATTTAGTTTAATCTATCGAACTAGCGAGACTGGTTTAGAATAGAGACCTTTTTAAACGTTCAAATTTGTCAATGATGATTCGCAGTATTCTCTTCTTCTCTTTTTTCTTTTATTCTCTCTCTCTCTCTCTTTCTTAATCTTTTTAATCTTTTTCTCAACCCCAGTTGTGATTTATTTAAACTTCCACGATCGATATAAGGCCGCAAGAGTGAAAGCGATACACTGTACATAAACAATAAATTCTGAGGGCCTATCATTTCTCACTCTCATTATTTCTTTGAAAGAAAAAAACTGTGTCGAATACACAACACTAGACATCGCTCTATGTTGTATAGATAAAGCTAAACGAAAAAAAAAGAAACTGTAAAGTCGGAAACCCAAAAATTCAATTGTTTTTACACATGTGCTAACGGATCATGGATTAAACATTGTTCTTATATTTTTTGACATGTGTTTCGTATCGATAAAGCAACAAACAACATGATTATTAAATCGAGACGAAAATAATCGACGAATCTCTCTTAGTCGCTAACGAATGTTTTTAGAACTTGTTCAGATACCTAGTATACATTACATGTAACAAAATTGCTATGCATGTGTTATATTTAATATTACTTGGATTTACTATTATCTTCTTTTTCTTTACATGCATATGTATATATACGTAACGTGAAATTTCACCGTTCATCCTTGTCCTCGATGTATTCGACGACTGACACATTCTTTAAATAACACAAGATATTGACCCAGCAGAAACTGGCAACGCTGACATATGTCACTCGTAAGGATGTCGGAACTAGCAGAAAATTCACAAGTTGCACCGGCAACCAAAATCCACAGGAGGTCTAGAAATGTAAGTATGGGTATGTATGTGTATATATATGTGTGTGTATGTAAATAAATTATTATGTGAGGCATTTGAAATTAGCCTGACCTAGTTTTTAAGTACCTCACTCTGTACACTCAAAACATTTTTTGGTTTTGCAGTCATAGTAAAAACTATCTAAATACACAAGTTAGCTGTGAAATGAATAAATGCCCAGCAAACACTATTGCATATGTTTTATATTTAATCAATATAAACGATAAGGGTAGAATTTCTATCCGAACCATTTGTAAAATTGAAAAATCTTGTAGCGCCTATCCAGATTAAGGTTAATGTTACACGGTGCGCAATATAACTGCGGAATAGAAAGTGCGTCATAGAAGCAACTAATCAGCGGTATTCTACTCTTTTCAATCAGGCTGCTTCCCTTGATTGATTGGTTGCTTCTATGACACACTCTATTCCGCAGCTCTGTTACGCACCATGTAATTTCACCCTTAGAATTCTATCTGAACTAGCAAAACATTTCTTTGAGTGTACATCTTCAAGATGATAATTTTTGCATCTCGGAACAAACCTGAAAGGTGTGTAAAAACTTCATTCTGCATTCCTTGAGAATGTCCGACTTGGCTTCCATCAGACTCATACCTGTAAGATCGCGTGGAAAACGAGTCATAATGCGTCGTGTCGTAAAATCGGTCCGAACGCATGCAGGAATAATGTGGAAAGACACAAACTAGTAAAGAACAAGACGATTAGCGGCGGTGTAAAGACAAATTGATCCGCAAAGAGCTTCTTCAGCACGATCCTCGTGGACTTGCCGCTGTAAAACGTGTCGAGCCACTTGTACCTGCCATCAGCAGCGTCCACGTTAATTCATCACGGAATTAAATGCTTTTGATACTAATTTAATGAACATGACCGGAAAATACCATCCGTGTAACACAGGCCCCGCTAACAAACAACCGTAAACGGCGTATCTCTTCAACTGCGGCCAGTTATAAACCGTTGATCGCACAGCAGCATCATTCTTTTCATCTACAAGATCTAAAATCTCGCAAATTTCTTGTATCTGCATCAATATAGGCCCCTTAGTACCGGCGAAATCATCATGTTCTTCGATGTTCTGTTGCGTCGACTGTATTCTCAAAAAAAAGTTATAGTTTACTTATAATATCATTTATATACGCGGGTGATATCTGTAGTACGATTCTGTAATTCGTTATTGCAGTTAACGATAGTTATCATTGCGCTTTTTCATACTGTAGAAAAGCTGCGCAACGATAACGAGACTGTCGTTAACTGCAATAACGAGTTACAAAATTGCACTACTGGCAGGCAATTTATGTAGCCATATTCTCAAAATTTCTTGAAGTGAAATCTCACTGTAAACGAAAGTGAGATTTTGTTTGAAACGATAGTAAAAATATCGCCTTACAGAATCACAAGAGTGAACACTTGGAGTAGATTCTCAATATATACAAGTGATTGTTTCAATATATAGGAGTTAATTTGTTCTTGTAAAGCACATTTATTCTTCAATTTGGAATGAAAACATTCTTTACGAGTAAAAAGTCACAAACTCTAGTAATAAGGCTCTCAATTTACTTTTTTAGTTGAAATTCGATCGTAGAAATTTAGAGATTATACGCTATTTCGAGACATCTGAATTAAGAGAATCTCTCGCACACCTTGGACGTCTTACTGAAACTCTGTCGGATAAACTCGGCACTCGTGTAGAAGAAACCGTACACCATCGAGTTAAACAATAATGGTCTCTTCCGCATCGCGTTAACTACTTTAAAACCTCTCGTCAATAACATGCTTTGTTTTATTTTGTCAAACCAATATATATATATATATATATATATATATTATCACTTTTATGCTTTCGACACGCTATTTGATGAGCTAAAATGCTACCGCGACCGACCGACCGAAAAGATGATCTCACGTTGGAGGGTAACGTTAATACTGACGTAGGAGCTGCTCATGACGCTAAATCGCTTTAATCTCAATAACATTCAATCACGACTCAACTACGTCAATTGTGTTAATCAACACGCGGAATATCCCGATACCGGTGTTACCACCAAATCGTAATGTGGATCAACGAGAGAAATGCAAGTCCAGACGAGTTTTTGCATTTTATATTATCGAAATAGTCACATGTATATAATTACAAATATATATAAATTAATGATTTGATGTAACGACTCCGGTGACTAATTCATTCGAGTCGGACGCGATGGACTGCAATTCACGAGATAATTGATCGATCCAGTCGGAAGATACTCTTTTCTCAAGGGTCATTTCTTGGAAAAGTTGGCTTCTTCCTATCTCTTGAAAATCGAGTTTCTCGAACATTTTTATGCTAAGTGCATTGTCTAATTTGATCTTGGCACGGAATTCATTGATACCCAATGTTTCAATACCTGTTTTAACACACGAACGAGCATATATAAAAATGAAAAAAATAAACGAAAATTATACTGCAATTATATGCAAGGGCATATTGCGCATCAATTACCATATCGAATCATAAGAATAACCGACTCCCAACCTCGCCTCTTGCCTCGACTTGCCATGTCAGCTATCATGATTTCTACTTCAGCAGTGTGCGATTCTTCAGGATCGTTAAAAAACAAATTTGTGTCTCCTATCATGGCGTCTGCAATCGACTGCTTATAGAAAGACAGACATTATAGAAGTGGCGCAATGTGACCGACATACCTACTTCACTTCCAGTGGAGTGGAATATGTGTTTATCCAGGATAATGAAAGTACATTCTGCAACGTTAAGTAACACGAGGCTAAACTATCTCATAGAATTTGCATGATGCAAAATTAATGAATAATTACTGTCTGCGTCCTCGAGCCAGTGTTTTTGCATTTCAAACTCTTCTTCCAGAGTCAGAGGTTCTGAGCCTGTCAGATAACGCAGGGTTGGGCATTTCATCCATTCATGATACCTGAGTGATATTGATTGTGTTCAGCAGAGAAAAATGCTTTGCAATTGTTGTAATATTCACAAATCTAATTGGGATATGCTCTTGGCTGAATATCATGTACTAAGCAGATTCACAAATTTTAGGACAATAGCTTTCTCTACCGAATGCAGCCATTATTATCATTGTTATATTGTATTCACATAAATAATCTCCTTTGAAACGGTACACTGCATATATGTATATATATTATACTTGTCAAATAACAAGATATTACCAAAAGTGAATAACACACTCTTTACTCAATAAGGTTGAATAATTATTATTATTATAATATTGTAATATTGCATATAATTTAATATACTGTGTAATACTGGAGTATAATAATAGCTGCTGCAACCATTATATATAACAAATTTAAATATATTGGAACATGTTAGAAAAGTAAATATATATTCTCATTAGTCAACCAGTGCTTGTGAACCTGCTTGAAACGATTGACCTAAATTTTTCACATATAATCTTTGATATAATTTTACAGAGATATTTCGTAAAAAAGAGTCGCAACAAATTCGTCGCATATAAAACACGAGAAGGGGGGGG